GAGATCTTGCATGGAGCCCCAGTCCAAGGGAGATTGACAGTCATCTTGAATTTCTTCCATTTTCTAATAATTGCACCAACAGTTGTTGCCTTCTCACCAAGCTGTTTGCCTATTGTCCTGTAGCCCATCCCAGCCTTGTGCAGGTCTACAATTTTGTCCCTAGTGTCCTTAGACAGCTCTTTGGTCTTGCCCATAGTGGAGAAGTTGGAGTCTGATAGATTGTGTGGACAGGTGTCTTTTATACAGGTAACGAATTCAAACAGGTGCAATTAATACAGGCGATGAGTGGAGGATAGGAGGGCTTCTTAAAGACAAACTAACAAGTCTGTGAGAGCCAGAATTCTTGCTGGTTGGTAGGTGATCAAATACTTATTTCATGCAATAAAATGGAAATAAATGATTTAAAAATCTAACAATGTGATTTTCTGGAATTTTTTTTAGATTCTTTCTCTCACAGTTGAGGTGTACCTACGATGAAAATTATAGAACTGTCCATTCTTTATAAGTGGGGGAAAAAAATGAAAAATCAGCATTGTATCAAATACTTATTTGCCCCACTGTATGACGACGTTCACACTGCAGGCTGAAGTGGCCCAAATCCGATCTTTTTGCCCAAGTGTGACCCATATCCGATTTCCTTATGACAGTGTGAACAGCACAAATCCGATTTTTTTCAAATTCGGCCCAGGCCACTTTCATATGTGGTCTTAAATCGGATACATATCCGATGTTTTGCAATGCGACTTCAGTCTGAACGGCCTTGTCGCATTTCATGCGATTATTATTTTTTTTTTAATGTCATTGAAATGCGACAGACGTCACAATTCTGCGCTGGAGGAAGCGAGGCCATAAGCAATATTTGTGCTCTCCTTCTTCTTGATATTCTTATTTCTTTATTTTGATTGCACATTAACTGGTACATCGCTACGCACATGCTATCACGAGCCGCATCCATTTTTATTTTTGCAAACACAGTACAACATAAAGGCTCGTCTCAGTTTTGCCAGAAAACATCTTGATGATCCCCAAGACTTTTGGGATAATACTCTGTGGACAGACGAGACAAAAGTTGAACTTTTTGGAAGGTGTGTGTCCCATTATGTGTGGCGTATATGTAACACCGCATTTCAGAAAAAGAACATCATACCAACAGTAAAATATGGTGGTGGTAGTGTGATGGTCTGGGGCTGTTTTGCTGCTTCAGGCCCTGGAAGACATGCTGTGATAAGTGGAACCATGAATTCTGCTGTGTACCAAAATATCCTGAAGGAGAATGTCCGGCCATCCGTTTGTGACCTCAAGCTGAAGCGAACTTGGGTTCTGCAGCAGGACAATGATCCAAAGCACACCAGCAAGTCCACTTCTGAATGGCTGAAGGAAAAACAAAATGAAGACTTTGGAGTGGCCTAGTCAAAGTCCTGACCTGAATCCAATTGAGATGCTGTGGCATGACCTTAAAAAGGCAGTTCATGCCCGAAAACCTTCCAATGTGGCTGACTTACAACAATTCTGCCAAGATGAGTGGGCCAAAATTCCTCCACAGCGCTGTGGCAGACTCATGGCAAGTTATCGAAAACGCTTGATTGCAGTTGTTGCTGCTAAGGGTGGCCCAACCAGTTATTCGGTTTAGGGGGCAAACACTTATTCACACAGGGTTTTGTAGTTTTGGATTTTGTTTTCCCTTAATAATAAAAACCTTCATTTAAAAACTGCATGATGTGTTTACTTGTGTTATCTTTGACTAATATTTAAATTTGTTTGATGATCTGAAACATTACAGTGTGACAAACATGCAAAAAGATAAGAAATCAGTAAGGGGGCAAATACTTTTTCACACCACTGTATAATAAAAATAGAACACAAACCTCCAACAAAAAATTGAAGTGCAATATTTGTACTTCTCTAAATATAAACAGGTCCAACGGGTAAGAGAAACAGAAAAATGTCACATCCTACTGAGCATGCAGTTCTATTTGAAGTGTGTGTACTTTGTATTTGCTGTGTTTTACCATGTGTTGGGTACTCTGTACCTATACAGAAAATTAATGCAAACATGATGCTCCTGACTATAGTTTGCATTGCCACAGCAGAGGATCTGAGTACTTCTGGTAATGACAGATTATAGTTTGATTATTAATACATTAGCAAAATTTTTACAGTCATTAAAAGTTGAGTGTAGATTAATGAGCAAAATTGATCACTTCAGAGATAAAATTATGAGATGGTGTGCAAAACATGAAGGGGTCTGAATACTTTGAAGCCACTGTATGTCGTACTATGGGAAACGGGTAATAGAAAGACAGGTTCACTTACTACAGTCTGCCTTTCCTTTCCACATGACCAAATGTTTATGGAAGTGTTTAAGAGAGGTGAGGAGAAATGGAAGGAAACAAATCTAATACTGCACTGTGTGCACAGTGTAAATGTTAACTTAGTTTGCAGTGCCTTCTGTTTATGTGTCCTTAAAATGGCTGGAAAATTACAGAGAATTGTAATAATATGCTTTATCATGCCATATCTGTATTAGTCTCTCCTCTGTGTGGATTGTATATCGGGTGTCAGGTATTCTGCCACATTCCTTGGTCCAGCTGTGTTTCTCTCGTATGTCAGTAAACATGTAGGGTGTGTTTGTCTCTCAGCAGCAGGGGAGAGCTGAGATGGGTGCAGCTGCTCTGCTTCATGTCTGACCACTGTACTCAAGTTGTTTCATTGCCTTCAGCACATTTATGTAACACAAGGTTCCACTGTGTGTGTCCAGGCTCTTGTTAATGGTGCTGCGAATGTAACATATAATACTCGCATCACTCAGCCGCTTTTGTTTGCGCGTGTGTGTACATGTGTGTTTGTGTGTGCGTGCATGCATGCAACATCACTCAGCCGCTTTTGTTTGCGTGTGTGTGTACATGTGTTTGTGTGTGCGTGCATGCATGCAGAGGATCAAGTTAGTCCTGACTGACAACTGTGTCCCATCTGTGTATGTCAGTAGCTGATCTTTTGTGTCATTTACGTTTTCAATAATATTGCTTTACTATGTTCAAATGATCAGCTGCTGTTGCAGTATGTCAGTTATTGTTAATATTGCATCACAGTGATTTCAGAATAAGCCAGTCACATGACACTTATTTTAAAAAGGCAAGGAAGTCAAAGAATTTGTGGGTCATTTTTGATGACAGAAGGAGTAGGCCTGGGATCAGAGCAGAAGGGTAAAAACTCAGAGTTATGGGTTACAGTCACACACACACACACACACACACACACACACACGTGCACACGCTTAATGATGTATTTTGTATACCATGTCCACAGCTCCACTTGGTCCACTGGAACTCTGACAAGTACAGTCTATTTGAAGAGGCAGTGATGGAGGACAATGGACTGGCTGTGATTGGAGTCTTTCTGAAGGTACCCACATGTTTAAGCACACAAACAGACTTGTTTCTGCCTAACTTGTGCATCCACGGTATGAACATGCACATTCACAGGTCTGCTGACTGCACATATTACGTGGTATGTGCTGTATTTGCAGCTTTGTTACTGTGATTATAATCCAGGTTAATGGATAGTTAATTCTGTTCTTGGGTAGGTGGGAAAGAGACATGAGGGGCTACAGAAACTGGTGGACGCTTTGCCTGCAATCAGACACGAGGTTAGTCTCACACACACAGTGTTGTTTTTTTCAAGATATATAGCTCTGCAATTGACTCATTGGTTCAGTGACCACATAAACTGAGCCTTGCAAGATCCATTTAAAAATCTGTTAATGTAGGATCGGACGCCCTCTAGCGGCTGATTAGAGAGGCTGCAAGTCTGGTCCTACAGGTCTCACTGACATGCTAGAAGTAACAATGGGCTTTATTCTTTACATGGTCATGTAAACTAATCTTAGGAATCTCAGATTTATGTTTGTGTATTTACTGCATCTGATGAGGAGACGATGTATCCACTTGATAGTGGACTGAAAAGTGTCAGTATTTTGTTTTCATGGCAACATGGCTACACAAAGTCAGCCCTTGAAGTGTGAGCAATTAATCTGCCAAAGATGTATTACATAACATTGTTACGCATTATTTGCACTTTAGAATTTACCCATTTTAGTGGTAAACCAAAGATCATGTTTCATGAAGAAAAAAGCTTTACTGAAAATATATTTTAATATACATATTTTTATACTGGTGATTTTACCAATTGAAAGTGAGTGAATTAAGGTCAGTTTGTGCCTCACTGCATTTATCACAAAAAATGTGTGATAAGGTTTATGTTTAATAAGCAAATAAAATGTGACTGTTGAATGACGTATTATACACTGGGAAATAATTAGATAATGGACACTATTGTGTATGTGGTGTAATGATGCTGACGTTCTTCACAGATTAGGAATCAAATCTGTTTATGAACAGTGTAACAAATGCCAGTAGTGACTGTGCTGGTCTCTCTCTCAGAGAACACAGAAGAGTTTATCACACAGGTAACTTGTTTCACACTGTGTTTCTGTCTGATGCTCCAAAGGGCAGTGTAGTAGAGTTTACTAGGTTTGACCCTGCCTGTCTGTTACCCACCAACACCGATGACTACTGGACATACCATGGCTCTCTGACAACACCCCCTCTGACAGAGTCTGTCTCCTGGATCATCATGAAGCAGCACATAGAAGTCAGCCATGACCAGGTTTGTGTGTGTGTATATATGCATGTCTTCTTTTATTTTTTTTTACACTGCGGAGAAATTACTGTTTGAGGACATTTTTCTCACAACTTCAAAGGGCTGTTCAAGGGTTAAGACCTGGTTTTAAGTTCAGTTTAGAATTAGTTTTAAGTTGGAGTTAATGTAAGTATCGGTGTTAGATGTGTAGTTGTGATAGTTAGGGTCAGAGGCTTAGGGATGTACTGATCCAATATTCAGTATTGATATTAATCCAATACTGGACAAAATCACTGGATTCGATATTGTGTGGGGAGTATAATCCAATCTGATATGATCATGGACCATTAGTCCTGAGTAGGAGGATGACCTACTGAGTATCGCGAGATTGTGAGACTGCACGGGGGTATTCAATATGGCGATACACAGCCACTGAAGTCATGAAAAACCAACTCAAAATTCCACCGGATACTGATCATTTTTCATCGCGTACACCACCTTGGTCGGCGTTCCAACAAAACACCCCGACCAATAATAGTGAAACTGGAACTAAGGGGCCAAGCCCAGCTCCTGAGAAACGACCCCACATCATAATCCCCCTCCACCAAACTTTACACTTGGCACAATGCAGTCAGACAAGTACCGTTCTCCTGGCAACCACCAAACCCAGACTGGTCCATGGGATTGCCAGACAGAGAAGTGTGATTTGTCACTCCAGAGAACACTTCTCCACTGCTCTAGAGTCCAGTGGTGGCGTGTTTTACACCACTGCATCCAACGCTTTGCATTGCACTTGATGTAAGGCTTGGATGCAGCTGCTCGACCATGGAACCCCATTCCATGAAGCCCTCTACACACTGTTCTTGAGCTGAAGGCCACATGAAGTTTGGAGGTCTGTAGCTATTGACTCTGCAGAAAGTTGGCGACCTCTGTGCGCTATGCTGACCCTGCACTATGATTTTACATGGCCTACCACTTTGTGGCTGAGTTGCTGTCGTTCCCAATCGCATCCACTTTGTTATAATACCACTAACAGTTGACTGTGGAATATTTAGTAGCGAGGAAATTTCACAACTGGACTTATTGCACAGGTGGCATCCTATCACAGTACCACGCTGGAGATCACTGAGCTCCTGAGAGCGACCCATTCTTTCACAAATGTTTGTAGAAGCGGTCTGCATGCCTAGGTGCTTCATTATATACACCTGTAACAATGGAAGTGGTTGGAACACCTGAATTTGAGTGAATACTTTTGGCAATATAGTGCATAACAATAGGCAAAGAGGCATCTCAATTTCAATTAATAAAAATATCCCATTAATTCACAATATATCTATCACTGACCCAGAAGGCAGATTTATAATTATTAAGGTACCCATTAACCAGACAACATATACAGCCCCAATAATGATGATTCATCCTTTTTCATAATTTCTTTTCTCATCTTTATGCAACTCAACAAATATTGTTATTGCTGGTGATTTTAACAGTTATTAACCTGGAAATGAACCGTTCAAGCATCTCCAGCAATACAAGAAATTGGCACTCCTCTGAAACAAGCAATATATGGAGCATTATGGACTTGGTGATAGCTGGAGAATGACTAACCCTACATCTAGAGAATGCACCTACTTTTCCTTCCTTCCTTCAGTCTTTTTCTCAAATAGACCTCTTTCTTATCAGTAATTCCCTTACCCAGCATGTAACAGACACCACAATCCACTCCATTATGAATGGTAAATGGTCGTATACTTGTATAGCACCTTTCTATGCTTTTAGAGCACACTCAAAGCTCTTTCACACTATTTGGCCATTCACCCCATCGCACTCCCAAACGCTCACACATTCATACACCGGTGTTATCACCGGGAGCAACTGGGGGTTCCGTTGACTGGACAAGCCGGGAATCAAACCGCTAATCCTCCGGTTAGAAAATGACCAGTTCTACCTCCTGAGCCACAGCCGCCCCCAAATTATATAATTGGTGATCACGCTCTCATTTCCCTCACATTAAATATTGAAGCCCAATTCTGGCCCACGGTATAAGTATATTTGGCCCGCGAAATAATTTCAAATGTTTTATTAGAGCTGGCCCACCAGTATATATCGCATGCACTGCTAATACTGCGTAATTAAGTCAAAAATTAGTGTAATCAATAACCCACTACAACACTCCAAATTAATTGAAGAAATTATGAAAGACAGATTCCAAGTTATATAAACTCATATCAAATACAGATTCAACAATAACAATACCAAAACTCAATTGGGAAAACGATTTAACTCTCTCCCTCAGCTCCGATTTGTGGACAGAAATTTGCAATAGCATCTTTTCTATGACCAGCAATGTAAACTTCCAACTTATTCAGTACAAGACCATTTACAGGACCCATATTACACAAAGTAAAATGTTTAAAATGGGTTTCACTGACACAGACATCTGCTCACAATGCACTCTAGACTGCACCGACAATTATTCTCATGCTACTTGGACCTGCCAACCAGTTTATTCCCTCTGGATAGCAGTGACAGAGAAACTCTCCACCATCTTGGGCTGTAGAATCCCTCCTTCTCCATCACTTTGCTTACTCGGTAATATCATACAAATCGACCTACCAATTAAATACAAAAACCCACTCCTCATTTCTCTTGCTTGAGATAAATCTTACATTGTGTGTCTTTTTAAATGGGCAGTTGATTACTAACAAGTAACCACAGTTCTAGGGTTATTCTGCCACCTCTAGTCACAAGCTTTAAGTTGGACTTAACTTTAGACCGGCCACCACAGGCTTCTGTTGTCTCTTAGCGGAAAAATCAGCTGTTTTTGTCTAGGGCTGCTTTGAGTAGCAGTTATTTAGCAGTTATTTTTAGAGAGACATTAGAAGCTGGTTTCACATGATAAACATGTGTTCCACTGCCTGGCCAAATTGCAGGATTTTTCAAGGTGGTGATAAAACAATACTGATATATCCCTATGAACGTGGAAACAGATCTTTCCAGGTGGAAACATTCAGGGTCAGTGTGGAGAGTAGAAGTGATGACTAAGACCTATTCTCACATACACAGGGATACATCAATATTGTTTTAACACCACCTTGAAAATCCCAAACAATTCCTTTAAGGTGTGTCAAACTATTAATGCATGCACCCTAACAGTATTACACAGAGGAAGTGAATCACCCTGTGGTGGCATATACGCCTGTTGAAGGCTGTTTTCTCTTTCTGGTCCTCTCCCACCCTTCAGCTGGCGGTCTTCCGGAGCCTCCTGTTCACCTCAGCAAAGGATGACGTACAGAAGAGTATGGTGAACAACTTCCGTGTGCAGCAGCCTTTGTGCGGTCGCACCGTCCGCTCTTCTTTCATTCCCTTCCTTCAGGAGGTGTCATCAGTCGAAGGCGACAAACACTGATGGACCCAGTACACACAACCTCTTGCACAGTAAAGGACACTATGGCAGCCAATACACACAGTTATCACACAAACTACTTTTAATATGTGAACGACTTTTATTCTGTCATAATACAGTGTTGTTCATTAGCATGAGCAACTTTAGTTAGACTTGCATTTTAATTACAAGCAGTAAAGCATTAAATAGGTGGGATGCAAGGGTACATTTGTGTTTTTATTAGTGTTCAGATTTCAGTTTGTGTGATTCAAACCAATAAGGGGTGATTGTTGTGGATATATGTAAGGTTTACTGATGTTTTTTTCTAATTAATGAGTAATGACATAAATCATATTTATTATACATCTATAATTTTAATATTTACTTTCCATGGGTTTGTACTGGAGGCCAGGGTAGGGAACCACACTGAGCTGGAAGTAAAACCTCATTAGCACAAACATGTAGTTTAAAGTCCAGGTAAAGTAGAAATAAATATGTTCTGAGTTTGTCAGACCACAGGAAAATCTCACTATTAACAACCAAGCTAAATTTGAATGAATGATTAAAAAGATTGCCAAGTATATAAAATTTGATTTTAAAGTGATGAAAAAATGTGGAGTATTTTCTGCTCTGAAATGCCAGGGGCATCTGATGGTGACGCTGAACTGCGCCCAATCGCGGAAATGTGCCACCTGTCCTGATCATTAAGGCAGAACATCCAGAGGCATCGCTACAGTAGCTAGCTAGCAAACTGTAGGCTGTAGTAGGTGTAGTAACTCGTGATCAAACAGGAGAACTGGTACTAATGAGCTAGGGATCTACAGGAGCATTTTATCAAAGACCATTAACTAAGATAAGATGAAAAATAATGTTTTGGAGTTTATGGAGCCATTTCTCCTATGTGATGTTTGAGTGAGATTGGGCGGTGCTCCGGTCCTTTGTGGGCACACGTGCGCGCACACACACAAACGGAGCAAGACAGCTGCTGTCACAGACTCGCAGCAGCAGAGACAGGGAGACCAGGAGAAGTGAAAGTTATGCCTGTTTCTGTACATGCAATAAAACCTTCGTGAGTAAAAAAAAAAGTCAGTAGGAGTATTTTAACAAAACACCAGCTAAATAAGCATAATCAGAAAAGTGAAAATGTTAACCTTGTTCAGTCTACGAGCTTGTTAGGCTAACAGCAGAGTGCTAACTGTGGTGACCTGTCCACTGCAGTAACTTCACATCCGCTGTGGCCATTAACTCCCTTGCTCTAGTGCTGGGTATTGAACTTTGATACTTTTATGGCATCCGTTGATTTACTATAAAGTATTGAAAAATCCTTTTCTGCATTTTTGTTTAATGTTAACAGAGCTTAAGGTTGTGGTAAATAGGTTTGCTTTTTACTTTATGAAACTGTTGAGTGGACAAAAATGCCAAGTAATTGAAAAATAAAACAATCTACTGTCATTAAAATTGATCAGCTCAGGAACAGGATAGAGGAAATGATTAATCATTGCCATTAATAGACTTCCTGGTCAGCTGATTGAATCTGGTTGATATTGGGAGGGAATTGCTGTTCTCATTTGTCCTGTTTTGTTGGTTTTATGCCACCTCACATTTATTTATTTGTGGTAAAGATCTGATGCTGTGATGTGCAGTGAGAGCTGTTAATTCATTGTGATGGCTGCAGACTCATGAGTTAACAGTGAAGGGGCCAAACTGGGCAGCTGTGACATTACAGATGTTAGGGCGGGCGAGGTGTGGAGTGTGATCTTTGCATCAGAAACATGTCTAGCAATGTGTTGATTTTCATTTCTTTATAGATGATATGCAATACTGAATTTATGTTTGATGTGTTATAACATGGAGACAAGGGACCTAATGCAGCCTTTATTTTTACAACTGTTTTTTATTGCTGTATTTGAATCATGCACCAGGATCTGTTTCATGTTTCAAGGCATTTTGCTCCTTTTAACCTTTATTGTTACATGACATCCCAAACCAGTTTATGGTGACTGTGTTCAGTGATGGTTCAAAATGAGGGTGATGTAATGTTTTCTGCATCAGTTGTCTTAAGGAATTTTAAAATCTTTATTTTTCATCCTCTCACTTCCAAACTCAAGTGTTACAAAATGCTGTCATTTTTTTATGTTTTACACCCTTGGTACGTCTTTACTTGCCTTCTGTAGCTCAGTGTGACGTTTTAGTACATATTTTAGCTGTTTATTTGTCCAGTGGGTAACCAACATTCCTGTCCTGTGGGACTCTACTTGGCCACTCTCTCTTCCCAGCATGCCTTGCTCCACCTGAATGGCTTCTTCTAAACCTTCAGCTGTGCAACTGAGAAGTGTTTTACTCCCAGAGACCCCTGCTCCACAAGGGGAATGTTGAAAATCACCCACTTGTTTTACATGATGTAGATGTAAAGATGATTTTAGAGAAACTGACATTAATAGATGTATAACAATAAATGTGACATCAGAAAGATTTATGTATATTTTGTGTGTGTGTGTGTGTGTGTGTGTGTGTGTTCCAATGACAGAAGTAGAGCTAAAGCATTGTGATGTTTTTTTTTTTACATGAAAAAGAACAGTAAAAACATATCTACATCAACTGGGGTCTTACATGGACACAGGATAATCTGCCAGAGTTAAAACAGACGTGGTTATTTCACATTAGACATTTATGAATGTGTTTTTACCTTTGCTCTTCTCAGTGTTTTGACATGGCCATGACTCGGATGGAAAAAAACACAGATCAGGATTTAGCAACGTGAATAAAAGGGTGATGACAGTTGGTGGGTTGTTTGCTTATGCTGCCACAACTGTCAGATCTGATCCAACCACATCCACACTGTCTATTTTAGGCAGATGAGTAGAATTTTGCAGTATAAACTCTACGTTTTTATGCCTCTGCATTAGCAATAGCCTTGGCCAGAGATATGTTTTCAGGTTTTCTGTCCACCTGTCCAGTTCTTGTGAATGCAATACCACAGGAAAGAACATCTTGAGGGAATCTTTTTCAAATTTGACACGTGTTCACTTGGAATAAAGGATGAGCTTATTAGATTTTGGTAGTCAAAGGTCAGTTACCTCACTTTTGTCCCATACCTTTGAGTTTGACTAATTAGCAGAGGTGTACAACCACAAAACGGTTATTCTAGTTTTGCTATACTTTACCCTTTGATTGCTACTTCAGTTAATGTTATGAAGAAAAATTTAAAGTTTGACACTAAGTTTTCTATCAAGGCAGTGAACATCCCCTAATGTCAAGTATAATAAAGCATTATAAATGGAAAGACTGTGGCAAAGCTGTAAATCTACATCCTCCAAACTTGAGTGAGCACACAGGAAGGCCACTAGTGAGGGAGACCACCAACAGACCTGAGACCTGTCTAAGAAAGTGTCTGTGGTCTGATGAGAGAAAAAATTGAGCTTTTTGGTCCTCAAATTAAACATGGGTATCATCACATGTATAGTAACAGCACAAAATTTGCATCTGCACATTAATATACATTTGTGCTACAGTGAGGAACAGAAGTATTTGAACACCCTGCGATTTTGCAAGTTCTCCCACTTAGAAATCATGGAGGGGTCTGAAATTCACATTGTATGTGCATTCCCACTCTGAGAGACAGAATTTAAAAAAAAAATTCAGGAAATCACATTGTATGATTTTTAAAGAATTTATTTGTCTAGCACTGCTGAACATAAGTATTTGAACACCTGAGAAAATCAGTGTTAATATTTGGTACAGAAACCTTTGCAATTACAGAGGTCAAACGTTTCCTGTAGTTCTTGACCAGGTTTGCACACACTGCAACAGGGATTTTGGCCCACTCCTCCACACAGATCTCCTCTAGATCTGTCAGGTTTCGGGGCTGTCGCTGAGCAACGCGGAGTTTAAGCTCCCTCCAAAGATGTTCTGTTGGATTGAGGTCTGGAGACTGGCTAGGCCACTCCAGAACCTTGATATGCTTCTTACGGAGCCACTCCTGGCTGTGTGCTTCGGGTCGTTGTCATGTTGGAAGACCCAGCCACGACCCATCTTCAATGCTCTGACTGAGGGAAGGAGGTTGTTGCTCAAAATCTCACAATAAATGGCCCCATTCATCCTCTCCTTAATACAGTGCAGACGTCCTGTCCCCTTCGCAGAAAAGCACCCCCAAAGCATGATGTTACCACCCCCATGCTTCACAGTAGGGATGGTGTTCTTGGGATGCAACTCATCCTTCTTTTTCCTCCAAACACGACGAGTGAAGTTTAGACCAAAAAGTTCTACCTTGGTCTCATCTGACCACATGACTTTCTCCCATGCCTCCTCTGGATCATCCAAATGGTCTTTGGCAAACTTCAGACGGGCCTGGACATGTGATGACTTGAGCAGGGAAACCTTCCGTGCAATGCATGATTTGAAACCATGACGGCGTAGTGTTCTACCAACAGTGACCTTTGAAACTGTGGTCCCAGCTCTTCATGTCATTGACCAGCTCCTCCCTTGTAGTTCTGGACTGATTCCTCACCTTTCTTATCATCCGTGATACCCCACGAGGTGAGATCTTGCATGGCGCCCCAGTCCAAGGGAGACTGACAGTCGTCTTTAGCCTCTTCCATTTTCCAACAATTGCTCCAACAGTGGATCTGTTTTCACCAAGCTGCTTGGCAATTGCCCCGTAGCCCTTTCCAGCCTTGCGGAGGTCCACAATTTTGTCTCTGGTGTCTTTTGACAGCTCTTTGGTCTTGCCCATGGTAGTAGTTGGCGTCTGACTGACTGTGGGGTGGACAGGTGTCTTTAAAGAGCTCAGACAGGTGCTACTAATTTAGATTAATGAGTAGAGTAAAGGTGGACTTTTTCAAGGCACAGTAACAGGTCTTTGAGAGCCAGAATTCTTGCTGTTTCTCAGGTGTTCAAATACTTATGTTCAGCAGTGCAAGACAAATAAATTCTTTAAAAATCATACAATGTGATTTCCTGAATTTTTTTAAAAATTCTGTCTCTCAGAGTGGGAATGGACCTACAATGTGAATTTCAGACCCCTCCATGATTTCTAAGTGGGGGAACTTTCAAAATCGCAGGGCGTTCAAATACTTCTGTTCCTCACTGTATAGTGAGTATTTCTAGCAGCAAAATACTCTTGGTTGCGACTGAGTCAAGGTAAACTATAGCTCCCACGTTCTTGATAATGAGGTTGTAATGGTAAGCAACATGCAGTCAGCCAGTACAGCAGTGTGGCTCATCGATGTGCTTTTAATAGTTTTTAGCCACGTGTGGCTCTAGCAGTAATAATGATGGTTATATATTTTAAATTTTAAGTTAATTTATATTGCTTAAATTTCTGTTTTCACATGGGTTTCTACACAGTCCTCTTGTGTTGATCAGTGTCAATGAAACTATATTCATTCTGTTTTAAACCAATTGTGTAAGACTTCCAAGGGAGATGAATAACTTTTTGTAGAATCAGAAGTGAACATTAAACTCAGGATGAAGAGTTTCCCAGGCTTTCTAAGAAATTTACACATCCTTATTGTTGTTCTAGCAGAACCAGCTCACACCAAGCCCAAACCACGGCAGGAATAAAAAACATTGCTAAATGGTTCAGTTTGTCGCAGTCCCCCACCCTAACCGCACTGATACCTTTGAAGCTCCCTGACACAGAAAGGGGATATTTGGTGGGCCCCACCCAGAACCCTGGGGTCCTGACTTGCTTGCACTGTTACAATGGCCAAGTGTGTTTTGGGTGTCCATCTGATTCAAACCAAAGAAACAGTAATTGAAGCCAAACTCTTGGGGTGTTTATTGTGCTTGGCTGCAGAGGCCTGGGATTACAGGGACACACCTGTTAGTCTCTGCTGGGCTTCCCCTGATTGTACGAGTGTGGACAGACTGACTGGAGACCCCTAAGGCTTTGAACTACACAGTGTGTACAACTCTTACCATGCATGTGTTTTTACTTTGTAGGAGGTGAAAAAGAAAACATTTCATTTCATTCCTACTAAATGAGCTGGGACTTTACAAACAAATACATGTCATGTAGATAATATCTACAGAGCTGAACATGTTGACGAATTGGTAATACAAGTAAATTTATGGTTGAGTGGCTTTTACAAATATGGTCCTTTAGTGGTGACCACATACTGTATGTTTAACGTCTACCAAGGCAGGTTTCAACTTCCTCTTTTTATGAAAAGCTTCAGCGTCCTGACATTTGGTTAAAGACAGAATCCCTTCTTTAAGCACACATTATAGAATGCCACTTTATACACTTTTATTGTAGTTAACAAATCCACGAAGCCAACAGTGCATTAGTCTGTCTTACACATAAATACCAACCTCTCTAATCTTATAAAGTATGGTTAAAATGTATAGATATATTTATATTATATTTAAATGTTTAATAATTTTATAAAACAGCTGGACAGTGAAATGTTTAGTAAATGTTATTGAAATTGAGCAAGTAGTATATTTTCAGCTGCGGGTAAATACACATTTGGTGATTATTTAAAGCAGCAGCACAGTGTATGTGGAAAAGATGTCAAATAAACTATGGTACCCAGATTCATGTTAAATGGTCTTATGCTTGTATAGCACTTTTCTTCTTACAGCACACTCACACTATTTGGCCACTCACAAACCCCCATATGTTAATAATGGAACATATGCCCCAGTGCAATAGTGTGGCTCTCTGATGTTTTAGCCACATTAGCAATGTTACTCCACCACTTTGGTTGAGGTTGATATAGTTCTATAACAGGAGTGTCCTAACAAGGGGTTCAATGATGTAGTTTTACTGTAGGAATCATTATATCTTTTATTTTATTAAAAAATGCATTTTATTGTATTATTTTTGGTTTATGATTAATCAAATTCATGCAAATATATAATATCTAGAAAAGCCAAGGTGACTTTAAGGATTAAAGAGAGATTATAGAGAGATACCGCAGGGGACCGGACCGGGGGATCAACAGGTGAATGATATGGTGACTAATTGCGGTGATGGAGCAGCGGGGAGAGAACAGGTAAACAGAAACGAAAACACGGGAAGCCGAGCCGCGCGACATCACAACAGTGCCTGAATGACTACCACCCTGTAGCACTCACACCCATTGTCATTAAGTGCGTCGAGCACCTGGTCCTGGTACACCTAATAACCTGTTTCCCACCCACACTGGACCCTTACCAATTTGCCTACCATAGGAAAAGGAGCATGAAGGATGCAGTCTGCATAGCACTGCACTCTGTACTCTGCAACTGGATTCTGGACTTTTTGACCAACAGGCCTCAGCATGTTAGGTCAGACAACACCTGCTCCTCCACCATTATCTTCAACAACAGCGTACCACAGGGCTGTGTGCTGAGTCCATTCCTCTACTCCCTTTTCACCCATGACTGCAGGCCTGTGCATTCCTCCAGCACCATCATCAAGTTTGCAAACATCAAGGATTCAAGATTTTTATTTGCCATTTATACAACAGTCTAGGCATATAGGC